AGCAGAGAGCAAATGCTTGATCCAAATAAGTTCCTGAACTGTGAGGGACATCGCACGGTATTCTGCTTCAGCGCTGGAATGGGAGACCTGTTTCTGTTTCTGCGTTTTCCATGATATTGGAGAACCACCCAACCGAATAAACCACCATGTAAGGGAGCGTCGTGTAATAGGACAGCTGGACCAGTCTGAATCACATCAAACAACGAGCTTAAGTTCCGTATGAGCACGCAAAAATATGCCTTGACCCGGATTACCTTTCAAATAGCGTACAACACGAAGAGCAGCATCACACTGGGCTTGTTTTGGTTTCTGCATAAACTGTGAAAGCAAATGAACAGAGTAGGCAAGATCCGGATGAGTACACGCGAGATAAATAAGGCACCCAACAAGACGACGATAACCAGCAACATGAGGATAATCTGGACCGTTATCGAGGGCCAGCTTGTGATTCTGTTCAACTGGAAACGTAGCGGGTTTGGCAGCAAGTAACCCAGCCTCTTGAATAATGTCCAATGCATACTTACGCTGAGACAGATAAATACATGTAGGACTGCGGGCAAGTTAGAGATCAAGAAAGTACTTTGAGATGTCCAAATCCTTCATTTGGAAGCATTGACTCAAATACGCCTTGAAGGAGGTAATGATGGATAAGGAACTTCCAGAAATAATCAGATCATCGACATAAACAAGAACTTGAAGATGATCAGCACCTTTGTCTAAATTGAATAATGAATAATCGGGTACAGGTTGATGGAACCCGTAGCAACGTAAGGCGGAAGTGAGCTTTTTGAACCAGCAGCGAGGAGCCTGTCGTAAACTGTATAGCGATTTGTGTAACCGGCACACTTTGTTCCTATCAGAACCACGAATACCAGGAGGAAGGCGCATGTAAACTTCTTCCTTCCAATCGCCATGAAGAAACGCGTTGTGGACATCCATCTGATGGATTTCCCAGTTTCGCGATGCTGCTATTTGTAAGAAAGTGCGAACTGTGGTCATCTTGGCAACTGGAGCAAATTTCTCATCATAGTCATCACCTTCCACCTGATGGTTTCCAAGTACAACCAGTCTCGCTTTATGTCATTCAAGCGTACCATCCGAGTGGAACTTTAACTTGAAAACCCATTTGCTGCCAATCGCATGTTTGCCAGGAGGGAGATCTTCAATAGTCCACGTACCGAGTAATGTAAGAGAGTCTAGTTCAGCCTGAACCGCATTACGCCATTCTTCATCTAAGATGGCTTCTCTGTAAGAGCGTGGTTCTGTAAGCGAAGACAACACATCAAGGAATCGGAAATGATTCACAAAGAATCGTGAGCAACCGACGTAGTATTCGATGGAGTATGGAACCATTTCCGGACTAGACAGAATTGGAGCAATGGTTTGGAAAACAATATCCTTGAACTTGGCTGGCTTTTGTTTAGGGCGATCAACGCGCTGTAACTCCAAATCAACGTCAAAATACCCTTTTTCGTTAGTAACAACAGCATCAAGTAACTCTGAAGCAACAACAGGTGACAAAACAGAGTCAAGAAATGGGGATGGCATGACAGGGGGTGACGAACAGAGATCAGTAGAGGTAGATAGAGATGAATCAGACTCTGCAGAAGGCAGCGGTGGATGCGCAGGAGATGAAACATAGTCGGTAGGAAGATCTTTTACAGGAGAAACAGAGTCGGTAATAGTGTCGTGTACAAGGTCTTGAATAGAGGAAGGAGAATCCTGTGTCTCTGAAACCGGCTCAACGGGAGGCCAATCAGGCGGTATATCAGCTGAAGAAGATGTTGTGGAAAGTGGCAATGACACCTCTGGCTCGGAGCTTTGGATATGAGGAGACGGATAAGGAAACATTGACTCGCAAAACACGACATCTCGAGAAATAAATATCTTTCCTCTGTCTGGATTTAAGACTGGCTAGTCTTTCTTGCCGTAAGGATAGCCCATAAAGATCCCTTTAATGCTCCGAGTAGCAAACTTGTCACCATTGTGATTTTGATTATGAGCATAGCACAAGCAACCAAACACTCGTAGGTGAGCAAGCGGAGGCAGACGTTGGTAGAGTCTCTCGAACGGTGTTTGACCATCAAGGAGAGGCACCGGAGTTAGAATTATTAAGTACACCGCAGTTAAAATGCACTCACCCCAAAACTCAATGGGTAAAGATGCCAGAAAGTGTAATGCGCGAGCAACATTGAGAATATGTTGATGCTTACGTTCTTCCCGTTCATTCTGCTGCGGTGTACCAATGCATGATGTTTTATGGTGAATGCCTTTGTCGTGGAAAAATGAGGTCATCCAGAGAAACTCTATACCGTTATCACTACGAATAGCTTTGATGTAAGTTGCAAATTGTCACTCAACAAAAGCAATGAAGTTTTGAAGTGTACAAGAAACTTCATGTTTTGTCGGAAGTAAGTATAGCCAAATGCTGCGAGAATAATCGTCAATAATTGTAAGGAAGTAGCGAGAGCCACACCAAGAGACTGTTCTATACGGTTCCCAAACATCGCAATGTACTAATTCAAATAAGGTTGTTGTCTTATTAAAACTTGTTGGAAAAGAACAACAGGATTGTTTAGCGCGAATACAAATCTCACACGTTCTAGATGATAAGTTACTAGTGGTAGAAAAATCCTTAATAGGTAGCAAATCCAAAACTCTAGAGGACGGATGGCCTAAGCGGTGATGCCAAACATCTCGCGATACACGATCCGGTTGATGTACATCTCCTGCAAACTCCATTCCTCGGAAAAAGTACAGCCCTGATTGTTGCTCAGCCACTCCAATCAGCATCTTGGTAATGCGGTCCTGAATCAAACAAATCTGATCAGTGATTTGAAACACACAAGCGCGCTGGCGCGTCAACTGAGAAACAGAGACTAAATGACACTGCAGCCCATCAACAAATAACACATCCTGAAGTGTAAGAGAAGAATTCAGAACAACAGTGCCCTGTCGTGTTGCCAAAGTAATTCTTCCATCTGGTATTTTTACGGGAAGAGGAGCTACTTCTCGAATGACAGAGAGAAATCAAAGAGACCCTGTCATATGATTTGTAGCACCGGTATCAATAATCCAAGAGCCCAAGAAAAACATACCACTTAAAGAGGAAGAACCGGATTGTTTGCGTTCATTGTGGAATGTGACGAGAGTACGCCATTGTTCGTCATTAAGCCCACTGAGCCCCATACGATCAGAAGTGGTGACGGCTACCACATGTGTAGAGAGAGCTCAAGCGGATTGAGCATTGGAAGAGTTTCCGTTTGATGTAAGCTCTCCCCTTTGTCTATCTCCCCACCACTCCAGGTAACCGAGCGTACAAAAACAGTTTGTAGCAAGATGACCTTTACGGCCACAACTGCTGCAGAGGAGTTTCATGCGCTCTTCACGAGAAAGTGTAGCGGAGCGAGAGGAGGACGGGGGTGAAGTAGGAGCAAAACCAGTGTGGACCGAGTGAGCCATGGTTTCGCTTCTTTCGTCAAGTACTCAAGAGGTATGCTTGGAGTCTTCATCTTGCAGTAAAGCGCTGTAAGCCTCATCCAAAGAAGGTAAAGGATTTCGAGAAAGTAGGTTAGATTTGACTGAACCATATAGTGACTCGTCAAGCCCTTTAAGAAACTCGTGAAAGCGATCTTCTTCACGTTCACGTTCAAGCTCCGCACCAAGAGGACAGCCACAAGTCTTTGGCTGATGGTATTCAGATAAAGCAGTCCAAATTTGCATCAGTTTTCCATAGTAATCTTCAATTGATAACCCATGTTGTCGGCAAGTGATTAATTCAGCTTTGATTCGTTGAACCTGCTGTCCATTATTTACTGAGTACCGACGACGTATGTGCTCCCAGTAGTCACTTGCAATCTCAAGATGAGAGAGATTTGAGCGGACAGTATCAGTAATGGAAGTTTAATCCAGGATAAAACCAAGCACTGTTGGTCATCCAATCTTCCAAATCATCAGAATCGACGCCAGAGTGAGGAATTGTACCATCGACAAACCCAAACTTCTTACGTGCTTTAAGCGCCATCCGCAAGTTAACAGACCATTCATTGTAGTTAGGCCCTTTAAGTAATGGCTGAGAAATCAAGGATCCGAGAATGTCGCTTGAAGAGAGATCATATGGCGAGATCGTTCGCCTCTGAACTTCAACGTGCGATGAAGAAGACTTCGTCGTATAAGACTTTCCTGTTGAAGCTGATAAGTCCCCGTGTTCTCCGTCTTGAGTTATCGTTGGTAATGGAAAAGGGGTTTAAAATTTTTGAATAAAAATAGGAGAAGGTCAAACGAAAGAGAGAGAGTAAGAATTTTAAAAGAAAAAAACGACAATAGAATCAAGCAAATTTGTGTTTAAAGCTCTCATACCATGTCAAAAAACCTAAGATGTGTGTAAAGGTTTTCTTATATTGATCTTTGGTTACACGGCGTGAATATATACACAAAGCAATTTAACCTAAAGCAAATGATGTCACCCGTAAAATATAGAATATTTACATTATATATAAATATCCGATATACTCAGATATTCACCCGTAACAGAATCCATAATTGTCAAAATTTAAGTTTCAATTCTCAGATAGATTAACATCTTTTATACTATAATAACATGAGTGTGTTAGAATTTGATTAATAAAAATCCTTGCAATCAAGTATCTCTTCTTCCCACTCCCCTTCTGCTTTTATAGAAGCTAAGCGGTTTAAATTCAAATGCTCCAACATCTCATATAAGAATGTGTAGTTTGCTCCCGAGTTTTCCATAACTACTCCCACTTGCTTGCGACATGTGGGCGACAAATTCGGAACTTAATACAATTTTTAGGTAGTTTATGCATTTTTAAAATAAATTAATATATACATATTAGACTCGTTTAAAACCCGTCCAAAACCGTTTTAAACTGCTTAAACCCATTTCATTCTACTTAGGGTGCAAATAATTATCATAATGTATGGGTGTCTACCACCTAGAGATGGCCTAAACGATGTCTAAATTAACCATTTCTAGGACATTGCTTAACTGAATATTCATAAAATTAATTTAATAAATCTCTCTCTCTATATATATATATATATATCTACTTATTTTTCTATCTTAAACGCTTTTATTATTTTTCCAATTCAAAATCCTAGATTACAAGTGTATTGAGAAATCTTGGACAACTGTCAATGGCATGCTATTGATTTTCATTTTCTAGCTTAAAGATCTTCACAACAATTTGTATCCCGATAGCAGAAATTGAATTTTCACCAAATAGAGCATGGCCGTCCACGTACTTATAGCCTCCAAATACTGTTGAAGCTTGAGATCTATGCTTTCTCCATTTATAAGACGAACATTTAGCTTTTCTGTCGATATACTCCCTTGATATTTACAAAAAAGAAAATATTTGCATTTTTAGTTTAATGTTATTTTTCTATATTATAATTTAAGTTATTTTTATAAACAAAATTTATTTCCAGATACCTTGATATTTATAGAGCAGAGAAAAATCATTAGTTCCCAAGCAGCAAATGATGATGTAACCAATTCCTCATAATGGCAAAAGCTTCCTCGGCGTCTTTATCATCATCCGGCGTCTCCGGCCGGTGAACAAAGCCGTGACCTCTCCCTTCAAACACCACAACCTTTGACCCTTCACCAATCTTCTCCTCAATTTTCTTAAAACCCTCCACTTGGCAAAGCGGGTCTCTGTCTCCGGTAATGAACAAGACCGGGACTTTCACTTCCCCGGCCACTGCCGAGTCTATTCTTGTACCATAGAAGGAGACTCCGGTGCTGAAGTAACCGCTTTGATCGGCGGCTAAAACGTCCACCACGCGTCCACCGCCAAAACAAAAACCCATCACTCCTAGCTTCTTTGAAACCCCTGCCGCTGCAAATTCATCAACCATCCATTTGGTTAAAGCGGTTATGTTTTTTCTGATCCGGTCCGGTTCTTGTCCTCTTCTCCATTCCTCGTATTCGGACTCTTGTCGGTTGTTTGACCATGGATTTCCACGGAAGAGGTCCGGAACAAGAACACTGTCTCAAGAAACAATACTTTGTTGCAATTAGAATTTTATAAATTTTAATTTAAACAAAGACTCTAGTTTCAGTTTAAACAATAAAAAGCTTAAAACAAAAGCTAAAATTGTTGTAGAAAAACATTTTGTCGCTGTAAAAATAAATTTAATATTCAATTAAAAAAGTTATAGTTTTATAAATGTTAACAACATTTTTATTTTACCAAAATATTAAATAATTTGCAATTAGAATCATTAAGTTTGGAATTTGAGATAGAGAGAAGAAAACGGAGAAGATGAAATACTTGTAGCCATTGCAAGCGACACGATAAGCGAAATCGCTTGTTGATGAATCTTGGAAGCCGAAAACATCAGAGAGTAGAAGCAATCCAGTTCCATTATTATTCTTTACCGCCGTTAACAGGTGAGCTTCAACGCCGTCAATTGACACTTCTGCTCTGTTAACTAGCTCGCAAGCTTCTTCTTCTTCTTTGCCATCGTCTACCTCCACGTTAACGGTGCCGTCAGAGGTCTCAAGCGCAGAAATGTTTTTGATATACCGTCGTCTCCGAAAGCAGCTAGTGATATGTTTTCCGGTCTGACCAAAGCCGAGAGGAAAGAGGGGCGAAGGAGTAAGGCTGTGGCTGCCGCGGTTGAACAGGGATCGTTCGCCGGTTTTAATGGAGGAGGAAAGAGAGGCCAAGGACGCAGCCATTGTAGGTATTTTTCGAGAATTAATGGTCCAGAACTTTTCTCTATAATTTGTTTTGGATATTTTGTTGGTGAACTTGGGATTGTTATTGTTGGGCGCTACGAGCGAATTGTAAATTATAATTTTATTTTTAATATAAATTATATAAGATTTAAAATTATGGGAATTAAATAAAGAAATGTAAATTTAAATTAAAAAAAATGTTTGTATTTTGATTATTTGTAAGTGTAATTATCTAATTTGTTGAGAAATCTATATTTTAGCTAGTTGTGTATTTTTATGATTTACTTATTTTATATTGATTATGTTTAATTTTGGGTTAGACATTTTATTCAAAAGCTTATTTGGCAAATGATCTAGATTAGAAAATGATGCGTTTATATTAAGGTTATTATCTTGATTTAAAATATAAGATGAAAACTTTATATCTATTTATATTTGGTGTCTTTGAAAGTATCTATCTTATTTTACAGTTTTGATATAAAAAAATTGTATAATACAGTTCTTCGATTATGGAAAGTATAATATTTTCTTTCAGATATCTCGCAGCAGCTTGATAATGTCCTCCCGCATTACCAACCTACGTTTTACATTGGTACGGAAAACCAGTTTTCTGGTATCTCTGTATTTTCCGTGGGTTCTAATTTTTGTTCTTCCATCTCCTCCAATGGTGGAATCATGTAAAACTGGTGATACCAAAAATGGTATATGCAAAAGTTTAGCAAAACCGAGTGAAACATTGCATGGTTGATGTAGACCACGCGTCCTTTGTGCTACTACATATTGTTCCTGTGGAACTCGTTGCCATCCTCCCACAGTCGTTGTCTTTATATATTGGTCTTTCTCTAATATTGTCCTTATCTCATTATATTTTTTAGGGTTCTGAATCCATAGACTTTAGTGAAATCAAATAGTCAGTATAAATAAATACAGAATATATAGAACTACCATCTGTTTGTTTCTAAATTGTAATAAATAGAAAACAATGAAACACTTCAGAATAGACAATGGTAGAGAACTTACAAATCAAACATGCAGGCTAAACAGTGAACTCTCCACACCACTTTCTTGCTTTCTTCCGTTTTAAAACCAACGTAATAAAGCCTTGTAAAATACACTTTTTTTTTTATTCTTCTCTTCACTTGGATGTTAGTTCTCCATACTTACTCCACTATGTATGTATCCATCAATTCTCCATTATGTCTGAACACTACGGACATGAAAATAGAGATGGCAATTATAGTATGAAAGAACTGTATTAATCTGGGGAATGAAGAGTGAAGATAGAGGCTAACCTTTTTGATGCTTAATTACATGTGTCTTCTATTTTTTTCTTTCTTTAATTTTCAATTATTTGGCTGATTTTGTTACTCACCACTTTTTGTTTGTTTTCTCCAGTGTTTATTTTGCTGATTTCCTTTCTTTAATCTACAAAATTTTATCTTATCATAAAACAGAAATCCCCACCAGTATTTTAAAATATGAAAAGGATTGTAAAGGAAATGCTTACAAAAATTGAAAAAATATATAGATTCACCTTTTAGATCCACTTTTTAGATTCTCTAAACTATCTCTGAAGCCTATAAACCAATTTTATATTTTGTACCTTTTTCAAATGAATTGGAATGCAATACATAGTAGAGTTTTAAAGTTGAGGACTCTCCCATTTGCTGCAGTTACGAAAGAAGAAGCAGTAATTAACATTAAACACTTGTTGATAGGGTTTTAATGTTAGCTATCAATGTGAATTTTTTATTGGCGGAACCTAAAATGGATTCCAATATCTTAGATCATGTTATATTATTATTCACTTATTTGTAATTTGTAATTTGTAATGCTGAGGTGGCACCATTTTAGAAATGTTTTAGAAGCTGATGTGGATGGTCTAAGAAGCCTCAAACAAATCCTTTTATTTAGTATAGATTATCTAAGTACTAGTATTTTACCCTGTGCTATATGCATGGGCATTGATATCTAATTAGGAAAGAATATATGAAATTGATAAAAGATAATGTGTAACGAATTCACAAATATATTTATTTAGAATTTTTTTTTTTTCAATTTACTATTGGTACAGAAAAACCCAAAATGTCTAATACATCAAAGAAGATGGAAATAAATATAGGTGTTTTATTATGAACCACAAAACTAAAAGATTTCGATTGTTTTACCGATTTCAACAAATCTGAGGTGCACCAAATATCGATATTTGATCTTTTCCGGCAAATCCAAATAAATTGAAGCAGCAGCAAGAGAGATTAGATCTCCAAACTTAAGTTTATACTAACGGTTAATCACTTTTACAAAAAAATTTGGAAGAAGATAACTGAATCAGATTTGATTTACCGGAAATAAATCCTAAATGATAAGATCTTCGTATTCTTTAGAATACCGTCAACACACGACCAGAAACTCCAAAACATCATACTACAATTTAAACATATTGGACTTAAATTCATTTGGAAGTTTATAAGTAAAAAAAATGTTTACTTTGCAAATCGACCTCTGCCGTTTTTCGTTAACCTTCTTCAAATCTAGATAGATTACAAAAAAACAAAAGTGCAACTTAATCACAATATCTTTGATTTACATATGTCATCACCAATAAACGAACATTACAAATTAGAAAAAACCTATAGACATAATAAAACAGGTGCAGATTAACTTTTCACGGAAGACATCTACCCATCTTGATAATGATGTGCCTTAGATCAAGAATCACACTATAACCTGAAACAAAAAAAAGTAATTGCTTTATTTTTTGGAGATGGTTAAACAATTATGATATTATGATGGAGTAAAGACAATGTATATAGTGAAAATAGGAAGTTAAATTGGAGATAGTGGGTAGTTAATTGAGAAAGAAGCGGACGAAAAAAAAAATCAGAAAGAAGTTATTATTTTAGTTTTAGTTTAACTAATGAAATAATGTTTTTTGAAAGAAAAAAAGTTGATTTAAAAATAAAATAGGCACGTGTCAAGTTCACAATTGCCAACTGACTTCTACTTTATAGATATAAAGATGATGGAGTAAAGACGATGTATATAGTGAAAATGAAAAATTAAATTGGAGATAGTGAGTAGTTAATTCAGAAGCAGCAGAAAAAAAAAATTCAGAAAGAAGTTATTATTTTAATTTTAGTTTAACTAATGAAATAATATTTTGTTGATAAAAAAAAATTTTGATTTAAAAATAAAAATGACAATTGCCAACTGACTTCTACTTTATAGGTATAAAGATAAAGATGACAAATGGAAGCCATTGCACGATAATATGTTCTATATAATGAAAAATACGATTTTCCACTCTAAGCTATCCGTTCTCAAATTTTCCATTTTATGTCTGTTGAAATAGAAATTATTTAGTTCTATAGACACCAGATTACATTTTAGGCACTTTGATGATTTTGAAGACAAGATTTAACGATTATATCTTTCCTTTTGTTTTCCATTCCTATCTCTTTTGTTAAATTTTTACATTTCACAGTTTTTTTTTGTCACTTAAATATGTGCGGGCATAAAAATTTTATAAAAAATTAATTATTAATAATATATATTATTAGTAATAGATAAGTAATTGACATGTTTGGTAATATATTTGTAAAAACTCAAGTTCGATCTACGAAAGAACTAGGGTTTGTGGGTTTAAAGAGAAGTCTTTTATTAGAAGAAGCCGGAGCTTGAATGAATACACGGGGGTTTAGGTTGTCGGAATAAGAACGCCGACCTAAACTTTTATGGAAAGTAAATCGATAGCTAGAACAAACAGATTGCTTAGTTTGCCCTAGGTCTCGATAAATGATTTTCGGATCGGTTGAAGAGTCGCGGACTTCCTACATTTATAGCCGATCAGGTCGGTCTTCAATCTGCTTGGAATAGGAAACTCTTGTCGGCAAGAAGTTTCCTTTTTCCTCGGGTCGATCGATAAATGGAAGATTTCCTTTTACGTTACCGACCTGGAACTTGTTAGACGGGCCGACCAGAATTCGTATCGGGCTTGTTAGAGACAGTACAGATCTCATCTCTAACAGTAAGTCCCCCCCCCCCCCCCCCCCCCCCCCCCCCAGTTCGGCAAGTGAGGGTACATTACTTGGTGAACTTCATGATATATTGCTTGATATGCATTCTGGTCGGTTATAAAAAAGAGTGAGAATAAAAATGAAATTATTACCTGGACTTCTGATCGGCACGGTGATGAGGGCCAGATTGTGATTTTGGGCACGAAAAGTTCCCGCCTAAAAATGATGTAGGTTAGGCCCAGGCCCGCGTATGCATAACTAGGGTTGACACGTGTCAAACCCTAGCAGAATGAGGCGAAGGGGCCGATTAAAAAAAATATGTAGAAGAAATATGAAAGGTCGCCGAGCTCATGATGACTCTCGGTAACCGTCCAGACCCTCTTATAAATAAGAGGACTTCGACTTTCATTTTTTCACTTCTGCATTTCTAGCGAAACTCTGTCAAAATCAGGTTTGCTCTCTTCTCTCTCCTTGTTCTTCGTTTATTTTAGCTAAAAGTTTTTCCGATCAGACCTCTGCCGCGTTTCGTTCGTTCTCAGCCGCTTGATTTCTCCGATTTGTGAAAACCGTCATGATAGTCAAATATGAGCAAGTGTGTGAAGATCTGCGAGAGCCGACCAGAGTCGAGAGTGGTCGTATCGGCTAAGGAGAAAGCCGACGAGATCGGTATTTCTCTAGAAGAGTTTCTTCAGATGGAGAAAGACGACCGGGCCGTGAGAGGCCGATCAAAGGGAAAAGAGATCGCGAACGATGTAGCGTCAGATCGGTCCTCTGATGCTAGCGAGTTATCCGTATTAGATCGAGCTTTTCAGGAGCGAGTCAGAGAAGAAAATCAGAGGGCAGTAGCCGAGCGTTTCCATGCGGGTCAGGTCGGTGCTGTTTTGAGGAGCGGTGAAGCGTCGACGAGGGAACCATTCCTGATCCCCGAACTGCGAGATGAGTTGGACAAGAGGGGTGGATCGAACGAGATGGACATCTCCGACGAGCTGAATACACTCATTGCTGAAGATGAAGCGAATCAATTCGGGATTGTCGATTTGAATCCCCCTGTTAAAAAGGTCAAGAGGAAGAAAGGCGAGCCAAAACCAAAGCCGACTTGTGATAATCTCCTTGGGGTATTACCAACAAAATCGACTATGG